GGGGACCTTTTATCTCTATTTGAAAAGACATTATGTTGTTGATTTTTCTGAAAACGTTGATTAAAGGCACAAATAATGTAAATGTTCTGTTTCCAAGGACTCTCAAGCTTTGGAAGTCACCAAACTTTGGGGGCCATTTTCTAGCTAATTTTACCTCTGAAATCAGGCGGCCCCCACCACCTTCAATGGCAAATATATCAACTTCTATTAAAAATGTACTTTTTTCATTGAAAGATAAACAAATAAACAAGCTTTAAGATGATACGTATAACTTCACATGCCCAAAAATTGACGAGCGCCTGATTCCATCGCGTCCTGACACAAATACAATTTTATCTTTTCAATTTGTGGAGGTTTATTTTCCCCTTCTACTGAAAAATTCCGGCTCTCTCCAGTCTAATGTAGACCAGGTTCCACGCCTTTCAAATGGAAATTTTTATGTCTTCAATTTCAAATTTCCAATTTAATCACCTTTTTCTTGCTTTGTCTGTATTGCAGCTGGCGTCGTTTGAAGAGGATACCGACTCAATGGACGGACCGCCACCCTGCGCTGCTTCAGAGGTCCTTGTCACAGTAAGTCTTAGTGCACTTGTCACAGTAAGTTTTAGTGCACTTGCCACAGCGTTACATCAGTTAATTTGAGTGCACTTGTTACAGCAGGTTTTAATGTATTTGTCACGGTAAGTAAGAGCAGCCGGAGTGCACTTGTTACATCAGTAAGTTTGAGTGCACTTGTCACAGTAAGTTTTGATGCACTTGTCACAATAAGTAAGAGAAGCTTGAGTGCATTTGTTACATCAGTAAGTTTGAGTGCACTTGTTACAGCAGGTTTTAATGCATTTGTCACGGTAAGTAAGAGCAGACCGAGTGCACTTGTTACATCAGTAAGTTTGAGTGCACATGTCGCAGTAAGTTTTAGTACACTGTCACAGTAGGTAAGAGTAGCTTGAGTGCACTTGTTGCAGAATGAGAAAGTTCTTGTGCAATTTTTACTTGAGTAAGTGTGAGTGCACTTGTTACCGCAAGTGTGAGTGTACTTGCTACTCTAAGTGTGGGTGTACTTGGTACTGTAAATTTGGGTGTTCTTGTTACAGATAATTTGAGACAACAGCAATATAATTGATATTTAGCTGTCCTTTGGAGTTGAATTCCTCAAAGTTAAAAAAAAACCCTTTTGTGTCCTGTTGCGGTTTCTCTCAGCACTGTGGTGTATTTATACCTCCGTTTTAATGCACCTTACAGTTTTGAAATCATAAATGGTAAAAAATAAAATCATCTGTTTTGCTGATCATTTAGCTGGAAATATGCGGATTAAAATTATATTTTTTTACCGCCTTTTTTTTTGGGTGGGGGAGGGAAGATACATAACATAAAAAATATTTTTCTCTCTCTCTCATATGAAAAATTTTGCTGTGTGGGCTAAGAAAGAACATTTGAACAGTTTGCCTACGATAGAGCGACCTTTTCTCATTCTTCTTTTCCCAGAATTTGAGCGAGGACGACTGTGTGCCCAAAGAGCAGGGCCCGGCGGGGATGTTGTACGGAGAAAACGACTACATCGTTTTCCGGACGCAGATCCCGAATCCACAAAATGTGGTAAGTGTGTAACACTTTGCTGGGGTTTTTTTTTTTCCTTCTTTGTTTTAGCGTAAAAGTAAACAACTTTAGGCCCCCCCCCCCCACCCCCCCTTTCCCCCGTTCAGAAGTACGTATGTCTGGGGTCTCTACTCTCTCCAGGACCACGTGTAGATTGCTGCAACATTGTGCTCGAAAGAGACGCTTTTAACTGAACTCTATCTGTACGCTTTGGGGTCTTTTTGTACCCCCGGGGTTGTATTCTTCACATTTTAGAATACTTCTAGGGCAAAGATCTCTTTGAAACTTTCAATATTTCTCCAAAAATTTTTTTGAAAAACTGCTTTGCAAAGCGTACGGATCGGATTAACGAGTTAATTTTCTCTAATATTTTCTAAATAAAAACCTCTACTAAAACTTTAAAAAAACTAAAAACCTCTACTAAAACTAAAAACTAAAAAGCTAAAAACCTCTACTGAAACTTTAAAAAACCTAAATATAATAAAGACGGAACAAAAACCTGAAATGTTTTTCTCGTTTCTCATTTGTCCTCCACAGGGCTTCCAGCTGGATTTTTTTGTGTTTGAGCCGCACCGGTCGCCCAAGTTTGTGGGCACGTCGTACCTCCTACCTCATAAAAAGATCGAATCTCAGTGTGTGGTGAAGCTGCCCGTGATTGGCACCAACCACAAGCCTATCGGAGAAGTCTCTTGTGAGGGCAAGCTGCTGTTGTTGTTGTGGTGGTGGTTTTTGTTGTTGTTGTGGTTGTTGTTGTGGTTGTTGTTGCGGTTGTTGTTGGTTGTGGTTGTGATGGTGGTGTGCGTTGTTGTTGTGGTTGTGTTTGTGGTTGTTGTTGGTGGTGTATGATATTGTTGTTGTGGTTGTTGGTGGTGTGTGATATTGTTGTGGTTGTTGGTGGTGGTGTGCGCTTTTGTTGTGGTTGTTGGTGGTGGTGGTGTGCATTGTTGTAGTTGTGTTTGTTGTTGTTGTTGTGGTTGTTGATGGTGGTCTGTGTTGTTGTGGTTGTGGTTGTTGGTGGTGGTGTGTGTTGTTGTCTCATTCCATCTCACTCATTCTCTCTCTCTCTCTCTCTCTCTCTCTC